TTCCCCGAAGTTGGCGGCCGGCCCCGCTTGACAAGCTTGTCCCCAAAACGCCTCTTCCGGGGCCAGCCGGGAACGGAACGCGTCCGGGGCCGAAAGAGTTGGCCTCGGAGGGGCCTGCAGAAGCGCGCGTTCGCTCAGTCTTCATTGCGCGCATAGTTTGCTGGAGTGTTTGAAAGCTTACTGCAAAAAACCGAGTGGCGAACGATATGGAAAATCAACACACTCAGTTGGTGAACTTAGTGTAATAACTAAGTAAATACGCAGGCGTCCGGATGTTTTCAGCGGAAGTCTTTTTTTTAAAAAACTTTTTACTGCTTGAGGAGGTGAAAAATTGGTGTTTGTGAAGAAAATGGAGATGAGCAGTAGAGTGTCACGCATCAAAACGTTTTGGTTCCAAAGTTAGGCTAGCAGTTTGTGACAGAAGGTTGGAAGGGAGGAATGATGTTTTAAAAGCCTGGAAACTTGAAATTGGGTTGAAATTTAGAAGGCGGCGGGAACTGAAATGCTTCAGAGCCAGCCAGCCTTCGTGCGGTGTGCGGTGTGCGGTGTGCGGTGTGCGGTGTGCGGTGTGTGCGGTGTGCGGTGTGCGCGTTGGCAGGGGAAGCCATCCTGTGGCAGCCTAGCGGGGCTGCGCCTGCCCGGGAGCTTTTCCCGTTGCGCACGTCTGTCGTGCCGTAAGAGAAAGACTCGTTTTGAAGGTTCCTCAAAGGCCCTCGCCAATGGAAGTAACTAGATTGTAAGACTCTGAATGCACATCCTTGCACTTCCAGTGTTTGACGTCTGGCCCGGCACCTGGAGGGCACTGAGCTAGTGCCCACTGAGTGCATTCTTGACCCCTGAGCCTTAAGAAGGACGTGATGCATAGAAATTCATCTGATCCGTAGGTGGAAACCACCTGTAACTCTGGAAGGCACATCTCTGATTTAGTACATTTGGGAGTCTTTGAAAACATGGGCCTGTGTATCAGTATTGCAATTACACGGAAATTCTTACCTTATTCCGTCGTGTATTGGGAACAATATTGCTGTTACTACCTCTCTAGAAAAAGGCTCTCTGCCCAGATGCTCACTTTATATAATAATGCCTTTGCCTAGAATTTGTACTAGTAATTTAAAACACTTTATGAAATTGTAGTCTCAGCTTTTTTGAGCACTTTGCGTTTTTAACTATTTTTGTATATTTTTGAGTGTCTCAATTTTTTAGCTAAAGGGAAATATACTTAAGTTTAAGGACATAAAAATCCTTAAAATGCTCACAAATAAAATAGAAAAAAATACTGGAATGTTTAAAATGAGTTATGTTAAAAGTATTGAATATGAAATGTTGCAGTTGTGATACGCAAATTTTCAGAGTAGATTTAGACTGTGCAGAGCTCTTTAATGAAATGCTAATTTTATAAGGACTGAAAAAGATTATATATTTTACTATTGGGAAAGGAACCAGTAAATTCCTAGGAGCTAGGGACATTTGAGACTTTATTATCATAATCATCATTTTAACTAGTATTTGTCAGATAATTCGCTAGTCCTTGTTCTAAGTACTTGTAATATAGTAGCTCATTTAATCATTGAATTAGCCATGTAATAGGGGCTCTATTATAGTCTCAAATTTTCAGATAAGGAGATGCTTACAGAGAGTAACTTACTCAGCTAGTAAGGGACGGTGCCCAGTGAGAACCTAGGCTGTCCAGCTCTGGCATGCCTGGCCACTATACCATATTGCCACTTTATATTCTTTTGTAGGATTCCTTTCATTTTAATATGTAGCAAGAAGACCATGATATTTAGCAAAATTGGATTAGCGTTAAAAGCTATATTACATTTTAAAAATTATGATTTTTTTAGACCTTAAGCTTTGGCTGATAAGTAAATAAATCAATTTCCTAACATCTGATACATTTTCTGAGTGCAGTGTTTGAATTTATAACCTTCATGTTCTTGCCACATAATGTATTACATTAAAAATATATAAGCCTCTTCCTTTAAAAAAAAAAAATTCCCCTCCCCCTCTCAAGGTTCTTTTTTTGAAGTGTGTGTTGCTATATTATAGATTGATGACCCTTACTAGGGTATATTTTTGCTAACCTTTAGCAATGTAAGAGGAAGAGTGAATAGTTAGAATTGTTTTCAGTCTTGTATGTCCCCTTTTCATGGGGACATAAATGCCTAGTCAATTAAAATAGTCCTATGAACCGACTCCAAGTTGAACTGGGAACTGTAAATGATCCATACATTTTTTTCCCCCTGGGCTTGGGTAGGAGAGTTTGCTTTAATCCTAGAGTGATGCAGCAGTTTTATGTGTTTATGAAGAGCAGAAAGCATTTTAACCTCAGTTGGCAAGAAAGCAAAAGCAGATTTACATTTACGGGTTAATTGAAAATATTCTTATTTTGATTGGATTGAAGATCAGTTTTAAATTTTATTCCAGGTCTTGCTCATGCCAAACTCTTGGTCCCTTTTAATTATAATATGAAGTTAATGCTTGTATGACTACGTGTCCTTAGACAGTCTTTCACTTATTGAGACTTATTGTTCTTTTATTCTTTCTCTAATTATTATTTTTGAATCTTTTAAATGTATAGGATGATAATGAAGATAATTCAAATGATGGGACCCAGCCATCCAAAAGGAGGCGAATGGGCTCAGGAGATAGTTCTAGGAGTTGTGAAACTTCAAGTCAAGATCTTGGGTACTGTCATTTTACCGGTTATTAATATTTTTTGTGATGTTTCTCTTTGCCTTAACATCCTCTCCCCTTTCCCCCAGCTCTGGCAAAGGCAATTATTAAAAATTGTAGAATATTTTCTTCCTATTCTATAATGTGCCACCAAAGTTGGTCTTGTTACTGAGTGTAATTAAAAAACAATTTTATGATAGTAAAATACATACATAAAATTGGTCATTTGAACAATTTTTAAGTGTGAAATTCATTGGCATCAGTTACATTCACAGTGTTGTACAGCCATTACCACCATAAATTTACAAAACTTTTTCACTACCCCAAACTTTATAACCATTAAGCAATAACTTCCCTTTCTCCCTCTACCTAGCCCCTTGCAACCATCATTCTACTTTCTATTTTCATGAATACGACTACTTAGTTACTTCATATAAGTGGAACCATAAAATATTTGTCCTTTTGCGGCTGGCTTATTTCTCTTAGAACTTTGAGTATCTTCAAGGTTCATCCTTGTAGCATATGTCAGACTTTTGTTCTGTTTTTAAGGCTGAATACTCCGTTTTATGTGTATACTGCATTTTGTTGATCCATTCAGATGTTGTTGGGCATTTGGGTTTCCACCTTCTGGCCAAGGTAAATAATGCTGCTGTGAGCATTGGTGTTCAGAGTTTGTGTTTTCAGTTTTTTTTGATGCTTATCTAGGAATAGAGTAGATGGATTATATGGTAATCCTATGTTTAATTTTTTGAGAAGCTGCCAAACTGTTTTCCATAGGGGCTGCACCAATTTACATTCCTTCCAGCAATTCACAGTTTCCAGTTTCTTCATATTTCTCACCAATTTGTTATTTTTCATTTTTTTAAATAATAGTTATCCTAAAGGGTGTGGAGTGATATTTTATTGTGATTTTTGATTTGCATTTTCATAATATCTAGTGATATTGAACGTCTTTTCGTCTGCTTCTTGGCCATTGTATAGCTTCTTTGGAGACATGTCTATTCAAGTTCTTTGTCCATTTTGTGTTTGTTTTTTTTGTTGTAGTTGTAGGAATTTTAAAAATATATTTTATGTATTAATACCTTATCAAAAACATGATTTACACATATTTTCTCCTATGGGTTGTCTTTTGACTCCCTTGATAGTGTCTGTGTGCAAAATTTTTAATTGTAATGAAGCCCAAATTTTTCATCTATTTTTTCTTTTGTTGCTTGTGCTTTTGGTGTCATATGTAATGCCAAATCCAAGGTTGCGAAAGATTTCTATGTTTTATTCTAAGAGTTTTCTAGTTAGCTCTTATATTTAGGTTGTTGATCCATTTTTGAGATAAAGGTCCAATTTTATGCTTTTGCATGTGGATACCCAGTTTCCCAGCACCATTTTTGAGAACACCGTTCTTTTTGAAGGTTACTTTTAAAATAGGTGGATGCATAACATAGTGTCACTTTCCTGTGTCTGATTTAGAGGTTGAATTGGCCCAGATCCTGAAATCTGTGCTCTGTTACTCAGGATGGAGATTGACTATGATACCCTGGCACCTTCAAACTAGGTCTATTCTTTGCTTCTGGGTTTGTGGAGTATCTGAGAACAAACAGTTACGGTTTATGATATGATGCACTGAGATACAGGTTTTTAAGAGTTCTGTTTTCTCAGCTATTTATGACTCACTGAACAGTAGACAAGAGACAGAAGTTGATTATTCCTTGGGTGGATGAAATACTGGCTATGCATTTTAAGCCCAAGAGAAAGAATTCAGAGCTGATACCATCATCACCTTGCTTTGCCCTCATAGGTCCCTGAAACTAAAAATGCCTTCATTCTTAGCAATTGTGATTCTAAATTTTTTCCAGTGTATAAAAGATGTTATTTTCAATGTTCCTTTTTGACTTGGTAGACCACATAATTATTTCTATTCCTTGTACCTGTTGTGTAATTTTCTTTGATACACAGGAAGTCAAGTCATAGGAGGCAAATAATTTAAATACTTAAAATAGTTTTCAAAATATCCTCAATAAAAGTGATTAAAAATTAATGAAAGCCACATTTAATGCATAATATATATTTCTGTACTTAGCTTTAGTTACTATCCAGCAGAAAATTTGATAGAGTACAAATGGCCACCGGATGAAACAGGAGAATACTATATGCTTCAAGAACAAGTCAGTGAATATTTGGGTGTGACCTCCTTTAAAAGGAAATATCCAGGTACTAGTTTATATAATAGATTAATTTATAATCGATAGTAGTTCTTTATGATACACTGTCAACTTCTGAATTTTTCTGTAGATTATAATGTATTTTATATTCTTGTGCTTGCTGTTTTTCTTTTCTTTTTTTTTTTAAGACTAAGGGTCTCATTCTGTCACCCAGACTAGAGTAGAGTGCAGTGGTGCGATTATAGCTGACTGCAGCCTTGCACTCCTGGGCTAGCTGTCCCCCTGCCTCAGCCTTCCAAGTGTCTGGGACTACAGGTGTGCACCACTACGTGTGGCAAATTTTTTTAATTTTTATTTTTTTAGAGATGCGAAGTCTTGCTATGTTGCCCTGTGTGGTCTCAAACTTGTGACTTCAAGCTGTCCTGCCTCAGCCTCCTGAATTGCTAGGATTACAGGTGTCAGCCACCACGCCTGGGTGTTTTTCATTTACTACTATCATTCAGCATCTCTCTTTGTTATTGATAGTTTCTGTAGCTCATAAACTGATTTAAAAGCAAAACGGGAAAGGTGAATTTCCTGGGGAAAATTTTAGAACAAATCATTTTATAGTCAAGTTTGGGATTTTTACCATTGTCCCTTGATCTAAGGAATAGAGTTAGCTATATGAGCCATATCTGAATTTGAGAAAGGCTATTCCTCATGAACTAGTTTAGTATAGTTATGTATATGACCTTCTTACTTTGGATTATTCTATTTTCTATTTTATTCTAACTTTTGTATCTTGCTGAGTTTTATTTCTTGAATTTGTAATATTTTTTGTAGCCCCTTTAATATTTGGAATATGTAATATGAATATTTTAAAAAATCAAGCTCTTTAAGCTTTTAAAAGGTTTACAAATGCATAAGGTTTTGCTGTTTTTAATAATCTTTTGATCTTTTTTTTTTGGAGATTTAGAGCGACGAGATTTGTCTCACAAGGAGAAACTCTACCTGAGAGAACTAAATGTCATTACTGAAACTCAGTGCACTCTAGGTAAGAATAGCTTTTAATGTGAATTTTTCAAGCTGAACATTTATGAGATGATATTGGGTAAGTATGTTCTTTCCTAAAATATTTTACAAAATTAATAGAATAAATTGAACTATTTAAACGCTACATTATTTACTTAATTTTTTATTATTGTTAAAATGCACAGGAGATTAAAGCTTGAACGTTCACACATGTGATTCCTGACTTACGGTTCAGCTTCATGATGGTGTGAAAGTAATGCATATTCAGTAGAAACCATACTTCAAGTGTCTATACAACCATTCTTCTTTTCACTTTCAGTATAATATGTAACAAATCACATGACATATTCAACACTTTATATTAAAATTTGTGTTAGATGATTTTGCCCAGCTGTAGGCTAATGTAAGTCTTCTGAGCAGGTTTAAGGTAGGCCAGGGGTAAGCAAAGATGTGTGGTAGGTTAGGTGTATTAAATGCTTTTTCTTTTTAGGATAGTTTCAACTTAGGATGGGTTTATCATATGTAACCCCATTGCAAGTCAAGGATCAACCTCTATTCTATAACAGAGTATAATTGTCTAATTTTTTGTGACACAGAGTCTCGCTCTGTTCCCCAGGTTGGAGTGCAGTGGCGCGATCTCAGCTCACCGCAACCTCCATCTCCCGGGTTCAAGGAATTCTCCTCCCTCAGCCTACCTAGTAGCTGGGACTACAGGCGCACGCCATCGCACCCGGCTAATTTTTGTATTTTTATTAGAGACAAGGTTTCACCATATTGGCCAGGCTGGTCTTGAACTCCTGACCTTGCGATCCACCCGCCTTGGTCTCCCAAAGTGCTGGGATTACAGGCATGAGCCACCACGCCCAGCCCTTGTCTAATAATTTTTACAGAGTTTTCAGAGTGTTTGTATTTTGTGTGCAAAGCTTGTACAATTTTCTTTTTTAAGTCGTAGGTTCTTTGCTGAGTGCATGGTGTGTGTCTGTAGTCCCAGCTACTTGGGAGGCTGAGGGAGGAGGATCACTGGAACACAGGACTTTGGGGTTGTGGTGTGCTGTGATCATGTCTGTGAATAGCCACTGCACTCCAGCTGGGCAAGATGACGAGATCACATCTCTAAAATGCAAAAAGGCAAATTTTGTTCAGTTGTTAGTTCTGTATAATTATGTCCGTGCTTTATTTGTAATCTTTCTTTCACAAACATTTTAATGCAACGAATTTTTTTCTTTTATTCATCCAGTATTCTGTAGTACTTGTTAATAGTGCATTTCATTATTTAACAGTTGTTTCTAACTAAAGGGATTTATGTTCAAAGCACATAAAATCTTAAAAATAAAATTGTTTGATTGAAAAATTGATATATTTGCCTTTTGCAAGATAATCTTTTAATTGCTTGAGTTTATATTATTAAGTTTAATTATTTTCCAATGTACTAAGATATTTTGCTTTGGCTATTGGAAAACCATTAAAATGTGGAGCGGTTTGAAGAAGTAAATTTTGAAGAGTGCTTTTGTTCACTTATCCTTAAAAGAGCTTCTTTATTTTTTTATTTTTTGGTCTAAAATAGGTTTAACAGCATTGCGCAGTGATGAAGTGATTGATTTAATGATAAAAGAATATCCAGCCAAACATGCTGAGTATTCTGTTATTCTACAAGAAAAAGAACGTCAACGAATTACAGACCATTATAAAGAGTATTCTGTAAGTAATTGAGGTGACTGGCATTTTTTATTTGGGTTGGGGAGAATGACATTTTATAAAGTTGTATGTGACTTCCAACTGTATATTTTTTTTTCCAGCAAATGCAACAACAGAATACTCAGAAAGTTGAAGCCAGTAAAGTGCCTGAGTATATTAAGAAAGCTGCCAAAAAGGCAGCTGAATTTAATAGCAACTTAAACCGGGAACGCATGGAAGAAAGAAGAGCTTATTTTGACTTGCAGACACATGTAGGATAACTTAAATTTAGTACCCCTGAACTTAGTTTATTACTTGTTATTGCAGAGTGCCGCTTACCCCCTTTATCATTATTTTTTGTACCACCTTTTTTTTTTTTTTTTTTTTCTTTTTTTTTTTTTTTTTTTTTTGGCGGAGTCTCACTCTGTAGCCCAGGCTGGAGTTCAGTGGCGTGATCTTGACTTGCTGCAACCTCCGCCTCCCGGGTTCAGGCGATGTTCCTGCCTCAGCCTCCCCAGTAGCTGGGATTACAGGCGCCTGCCACCACACCCAGCTAATTTTTTGTATTTTTAATAGAGATGGGGTTTTACCATGTTGGCCATGTGTTTTTTTCCTCCTCGGAAGTTGAGATACTAGTTTTAATGCTGTGCTTAATAATACTCAATTTACATTTTTTTGTGAGATGTCTTTTGCTTTATGGTTGATAATTCTACTAAATGAGACTAATAATTGTTACATATCATACTTGCTATGTGTCCCAAGAGTTTTTAAAAGAGATTTGCATGTTAATTCTCACAGTAACCATGTGAGGTTGGAACTAGGATTACTTCCATTTCATAAATTGAGCTACAGAGCGGTCGTATAAGCTACCCAGATCACTCTGCTATTAAGTAGCGAACAAGAGATCCATTGCCATTCCTCAGGAGAATAGGCCTCTAAAACGATAATATATAGAATTGAAAGCACCAACTGTCCTCTTAGGTTATAGCTCCCAATATCTCTTAAAATTCTAGCTTTTCTAGGGAGAAGTGGGCGTGCAGTGGAGAGCATGTGGGGACTCTTCCTAAAACCTTGATTCTTAGCATGGAATCAGTTTTGTGTTTCTCTTTATGTTAACAGGTTATCCAGGTGCCTCAAGGGAAGTACAAAGTTTTGCCAACAGAGCGAACAAAGGTCAGTTCTTACCCAGTGGCTCTCATCCCCGGACAGTTCCAGGAATATTATAAAAGGTATTTAGTAGTTTTAGTTACACTTGGTATTGGCTATTGGTAAGGGGTTTCAGAGCCTTTTGTACTTAGCTCCTAACAATTATGGGGTCTATAGATATCACTATAAGATACTATATAGGATTTGTGTTGCTGCTGTTCTCTGGTTCTGTGGTAAACAACACCCTGTAGTCAGAATTTGAATATATGCTGATGAAATCTGGATGCCTCTGTCTCTGCCTATTTTGTTTGGGTTTGTCAGAGACAGATGCTGGGAGTTCTGTAGCACCTCACTGCTCAGGGTATGTTCTGTGGTCCAGAGCACTATTATTGCTCAGAAGCTTGTTGGAAATGCAGAATCTCAGGCCCAATTCTAGACCTGTGACTCAAAGTCTGCATTTTAACAGATGTCTGTATAATTCACGTGCAGGTTAGAGTTTGAGAAACACTGACTTTTACTGCAGAGAAGATGAGAGAAGGAGCAGAGGGGCAGGCACGGGCACCTAGGTGCCTCAGCCACATTGCTGACCTGGCCTGGCTGCTGCTCCAATCTGGCCCCTAAATGCTACTTATCTCCTATTCCCAAACTGAATGTAGCTGAAAAAAAACAGGGCTAACAGATTTTTTTTTTTTTGAGACAGAGTCTCGCTCTGTTGCCAGGCTGGAGTGCAGTAGCGCGATCTCGGCTCACTGCAACCTCTGCCTCTTGTGTTCAAGCAATTTTCCTGCCTCAGCCCCCCGAATAGCTCGGACTACAGGCACATGCCACCACGCCCAGCTAATTATTTGTATTTTTGGTAGAGGTGGAGTTTCACCATGTTGGCCAGGATGGTCTCGATCTCTTGACTTTGTGATCCGCCTACCTCGGCCTCCCAAAATACTGGGATTAAAGGCCTGAGCCACTGCACCCAGCCCATTTTGTTTTAAAGTCTCAGCTTTTACTTCAACCTTAAGCCTTACTCTGGAACCGTATGTTTTTCATAATAGACTATTTTTTTAGAGAATAGAATTTAAAGTATAGTATCATAATTCACACCATTTGAAAGTCAAATCTTGGGCAGAAATTTTTTAAATTAAAAAGGTTTTTTAATTCAAATTTAAATCATGGGCAGCAGTTTTTTTAAAAGTTTTTCTTCAATTTTTTTTTTTTTTTTGAGATGGAGTCTCATGCTGTTGCCCAGGCTGGAGTTCAGTGGCACGATCTCGGCTCACTGCAACCTCTACCTCCCGGGTTCAAGTGATTCTCCTGCTTCAACCGCCCAAGTAGCTGGGATTACAGGTGCTCACCACCTCGCCTGGCTAATTTTTTGTATTTTTAGTAGAGACAGATTTTCACTCTTGGCCAGCTGGTCTCGAACTCCTGACCTCTGGTGATCTGCCCACCTTGACCTCCCGCAGTGCTGGGATTACAGGCGTGAGCCACTGCACTCGGCCTTTAATTTTTAAAAATTTTATTCTGGTGTCAGCAAATTATTAAAAGTCATATGCAAGTATACCAACTCCTTTGCTTTTTGGTGTGTTGTCTTAGTTGGAGAAGTCCTGATCCAGGGTCGCTTCCTGAATGAGGACTACTGAGGGTGAGAATGGAGGTGGCACAAAGCATTGCTGTCTGACCTAGGGGAAGAGATTGCCAATCTAGTTTCAGAAAAAATAGTTGATTAGATTTTTTAGAATACATGCTTCCCAAATTTGTTTACAATAATTTGTTACTAAAAATTTTGCTTTCTATATTAATATTATCTTAAGTAATATCATGTACCATGCACTGGTGTATGAGGTAGATGCTATTATTAGGCCTGTTTTACAAGTGGAGTGATAGCACAGAGAAGTAGCAAAGACCTGGAACAGTGGTGGACGTGGATGTGAGCTGGCAGTCAGACTTGGAGCTACTGACATTTTATTTACTGTTTTGTTTTTTTGGATTGAGGGCAAAGAGGAGAGGCGCATTATCTCTTAGTAAGAATCAAATGCATATTTTACGTAAGTCTAGTGAAAAGATGTTCAGGCTTTTTATTAACCCTACTTGATGACAAAAATTAAAAATTAATACTCTATTTTTCGGAAGTCTTTGGAGTTACTCAAGAAGTTTAAGGCTCTCTTCGTAGGTCAACGATGAATCTATTTATATTTAATAATAAAGGGAAACCAAAAATAAACTCTCTGAACTTCAGGTACTCACCAGATGAGCTGCGATATCTGCCATTAAACACAGCCCTATATGAGCCTCCTCTGGATCCTGAGCTCCCTGCTCTAGACAGTGACGGTGATTCAGATGATGGCGAAGATGGTCGAGGTGATGAGAAACGGAAAAATAAAGGCACTTCGGTGAGAACATTTCTCTCTAGTGGGAAGCGTTTCCTTTCTCTTTGAATTTTTGCTAATTGCTTTCCTGGAATGTTACATTCAACTTCTGTCATCACCCTCTCTTTGAAAAAGGATGGTTGCATGTAATTTCCAGAAAGTATTCATCAAGAAAAGTTATTTATAGTATGTTTTGATAAAAAACAAGCCATGTGTGACCTTTGGTAAGATTTATACTTAAAATCGCCCCTTTGTAGTTGCCATGAGCAATTTAGGCAAGGATATTGGAAAATTAGCTTACAGTCATTTATTCAACTTGTTGTCTCTTTAGCTTAAAATATTGAACAAAACAGAATTTGATCTCTTGACACAGAAATGTAGTTTTCTTAGTTTAGGGGAGTGCATTAACTTACGTTTCTTTTGCTTAATCTTAGGCTTCCTATAGGAAAATATTGTGTTTAGTAATATGTTGTGCAATTTGTTGGGTTTTCCTGTATGACTCTTTTTTTGTAGCAAAATGCGCTTGCAAGACAATGGGCAGCTGGTGAATTCTGTGGATCTGAAGGAGAACAGAATCCCCTTGATGGTTTAGGGCTTTGATCACAGTGATGACATAGGGCTTTGAATTTCTTAGCATTGTATTTTAAGTAACTGGCTGTTTCAGACTTTTCATTGAAGCCAATCTAAATGTGAGGTTGTGCTACCATTGAATGGACATTATTTCCTTGTCACCAGCAGCTTCTAAAACATCTTTAATAATACATATTATGCAAAATAAGATGCTGTTCAAGTATTAAAGTGGTGATACAACTTTTCTCCTGTTATGTTGCTAAAAGGGGAGCTATGGCATGCAAAGGGTGATGAAGCTGACTTCCTTTCATACTGCTAGGAAAAGTGTAAACTAATCCAACATTATGGGAAAGCGTTTTGGCAGTCTTACCAATTTAAGTTCCACAGAATTTGACCTCGCAAATCCACTAGTAGAATTTATCCTAAGGATTTAATCAGATGCTGAAAAAAATTTAATTAGAATAAAAAGGTCTGTTTGAGTGTTTACAGTATTTTTTATCCTGGAAGTTACAAATAAATTTTAATGCCCACAGTGGGTAATATAATATTACATTTATAGGATAGAAATGCAGTTCAAAGAATTTTTTTTTTTTTGAGACGGAGTCTCACTCTGTCCCCCTGGCTGGAGTGCAGTGGCCGGATCTCAGCTCACTGCAAGCTCCGCCTCCCGGGTTCAGGCCATTCTCCTGCCTCAGCCTCGCAAGTAGCTGGGACTACAGGCGCCCGCCACCTCGCCCGGCTAGTTTTTTTGTATTTTTTAGTAGAGACGGGGTTTCACTGTGTTAGCCAGGATGGTCTCGATCTCCTGACCTCGTGATCCACCCGTCTCGGCCTCCCAAAGTGCTGGGATTACAGGCTTGAGCCACCGCGCCCGGCCTCAAAGAATATTTAATGATTGTGAGAACATGCACATAATGCTTTTAAAAAAATACCAAAACACACACATGCGTACACATGCAGTGTAATCCAGTTTTGTGTTTTAAAAAATGAGGGCACAATGAGGTTAGGGGGTATGTGTGAGTCTCGGTATCTTTATGTATATAAGTGGACACCCAGAAAAAAGATGAAGTGGATATATTCATGTTTCTAGTCAGTGTGTGTTTATCAGGGAGGCTCTAGATAATCTAATTTTTTCATTTATAATTTTCATAATTTATATGAAAGTTGTTCTAATTAGAAAATTTTAAATTATAAAATGAAGAATTAAATCATTAGATATTGAGGTCTTAAACCTTGAATATATGCAATCTTTCACATCCTGTTGTAGATAGTTGAGGGATTGGCTCTGCATGGTTTAACATTATGAAAACACAAATGTGTACTCGAAGGAATTTTTTTTTTTTTTTTTTAACTGCAGCACTTCATTTTTCCTGAAGGACCTTCTTAATGACTTTTAGTACTCAGTGAAAATACCCACACTTATTTGTAACAATATATTTTTGTGTGAAACAAATATGTTCCCTTGTGACATGGAAAATGATGTTGAAGCTGTGTGCCGTATAATAGTAGCTGAAGCGGATAATTGCATTTTTGTGGCTTAGGTCAGAAAACAAAGTTGATGAAGGCACTGATAAGAATGCAGTCAGTTTTATACCATATCATACTTAGAAGAAAGATGAATGATTTTTAACATAAGTTACTTTAGTCTCCACTGGAAAAAACTTTCTTACATTTAGAATGATCTTTTTATTTTTAAATTGATAAGGCTTTAAAACTTTTTTTGAGTATTTTCCATAGTTTTCAAAATCCAGACTCAATTCCAAAGAATCTTTGTTTTTGCCTTTTAAACTCCAGGACAGCTCCTCTGGCAATGTATCTGAAGGAGAAAGCCCTCCTGACAGCCAGGAGGACTCTTTCCAGGGAAGACAGAAATCAAAAGACAAAGCTGCCACTCCAAGAAAAGATGGTCCCAAACGTTCTGTACTGTCCAAGTCAGTTCCTGGGTACAAGGTAGAAGAAAAAAGCCCCTGACTCAGCTTCTTTACTGACCAGCCTCTCTCCCTGAAATGTTTTCACTTGACTTTCACGATTGTGGAGCTTCTGCCTGCTGTACTTCACTAGCTGTTCTTCTATGGTGTGCCCTCTGTCTGCTGCTTTCTTTTGTGCTTTATTTCCTTGGTGGCTTTTCTGTCACTTTTGGCTATGGTTTAGCTTCTGTTTTCTGTATATGTACAATTTATAAGTCTTTTTTTTTCTTTGAAATAATAACCAGGCAAGTATGGGTTTTTAAAACATTATTTCATAGGCAGAAGTTTATATTTTCTTTCCTTGGAGTAAAGATCATAATTATTTGGCATTTTAAATGCCCCAGCATTTAGTGTAGCTAAAGCTGCTGAGCTGAAGTATGAGTGGGTATACTGTTCGACTAAGTTGCATTTTTTAGTGCCTTTCATTAAGAAAGATCTGGGTTTAATCTAAGGATTACTGATCCATATGCTAAATTTAGCTAACTCTGGGATAGAAAATAATAAAACCTGTTATTTACATTGTGTGATTTTTAGCATAACCTTGGTAAAGAGCCTATATGATTCTATGACAAGAATTAAAACATACTTGTTAACTTGTTGATCTGATTATCCTCAGAGTAAAGTAGTAGGTTGTCAGCAACTATTATTATATTTTGAACTTTTCCTCCCTCTGTCCGCCCCTCCCTTTTCTTTTGAAGAAAAGGTGAGGTGAGAGGTGTGTAGCCTTATTTGCATGTAGGGATTTAAGAATATCATAAAAGGAAGAATTAGCTGTACAGTTTCATACTTGGGATGGTGGTAGTAAAATATACTACCTTTTGATTCTTTGGTCTGAAATGTATTAGAACATGCTTTTATTGCACTTATGAAGGTGTATTGAAGGAAAATTTTAGAGTAAGCTGATGAGGAAGTTTTGCCAAGTGAAATTGTTAAACACCTTGTATGTCAGAACTGTGATTGTGATAAATAATTCACAAGAACAGGCTGAAGTTAGTCACCTTTCCGTCAAACTAACTAGAACACGTTCTAACATGTTCATTTACCTTTCTTCAAGTAAAAAAAGTGACCTATTAGTCTATTTGATGTTTTATTAGAAAATGCTTTTATGTAAATAACTGAAATTTTTTTTTTTTTTTTTGTAGCCTGTAGCAAGCAAATTTTAAGCTTAATTGAGCAAGGGTTGGCTTCCAAGGGTGGCTGCAATAGGCTGCAGCTATGTGATTTTTGTACTTGTTTTTACATATAAAGCTTATCTAATTTCTTTAAATATATAAATTAATGCTTAATAACTGAAAGCAAGTGAGCTCCAAAGATGAAATTTCAGAAACAGTGTACATGAATGTGTTCTACTGGTCTGCTAAGAGCTTTAAACGGAAGTGGCCGCTCAAAGCACAGTGTCCTGTTAACTCTTGAGTGCTAAGTAGATCTTTCCAACAGTAAGCTTGATTGATCATGGGTTAAAAAGAGAGAATATTGAAATAGATGTTTTAATACAGGCTGGAAATGAACTATTTAACACTATCATTGATTTACTATACAAGAAATCATATAGATTAACTGAACCTAATAGTACTCAAGTAGGATATGCAAAATTTATATTTTACATAATCTGTGAACATTTTTAGTACCTAAAAATGTTTCAGGTATTTCAAAGATGGGAATAACCAGTATCTAGTCATACATTAATGTGAACATGTTTATTAAAAGTTAACCTCTTTATAAAAAGTATTAATAAACCAAGATGTGCCTAAATATTAGGGTACTTCAAGCTAAAGGTCATGTTTTATATGTATATTTATATATATATATAAAATATGAGATTCAAGAAAGTAATGTATCTGTCGGTTTGCTTAATAAGATTCACTAGTGCTTGCCCTTAATTCGTAGGACCGTATTGTTTAGGTTACATTAACCTGAAATTTAAAGCATAATTATTAGGATTCCAGCCTATAAATATATAATTAAAATCTATACTATATTATTGCTACCATGAAAGTCTTATCTTTGGCTCTTTTTCAAGTAGAAAAGTAAGTGTACTGTGAGCCTTTTATTTGAGATGCTGAGAGCTATTAGGATGAGTATTTCAATTTTCTTGTCAGTAGTGAAACTGATGATGTTGCAGTTATTTGAAGTAGAACTGATTGTCTCAACCAGACACACATGGGATTGTGTTCCATTGGCCTTGGGGAGAGTGCTGCACATTAACCCCTCCCTCAACTGTGCAATCCACTGAGACTGGCTTCTCTAAGCCACGGTTGTTATCTGCTGTGTGAAGTCCTGGATGCCAGCACTGTGGCTTCTTAGAGAGGGCAGATGCTTTGTATATTGAGCTGCAGCATTCATCACAGAAAATGCTACAAAGCTGTCTCTCTTCCCCTTCTCTCATGTTGCCCTGTTTTCCTCAAGATGAAGACTGTTGGGTAAGAAAAACTAAGTGATTTAACAAAGCATTATGATTTAAACTTAGAAATAAACCTAGAATTTTTTGGTGTCCCTTTATCATAGGTGTTTAATGTATATTTTAATGATTGTAGAACTTGAATTGCTCTAGAATGTGAATGACTACCCTTGTGTTTTATTCCTTTTGGCTTTTGTTTTGTAAAGAATCTCTTATGAGGAGTTCTGTTTTTAGAATTTAATATTGTTTGGTTACTTCCCTGACTTTAGTGAAAGATATTAGAGTACTTACTATGCCAGTATCTAACTTAAACTATGAGTATTAAATAAGTATATCTTTTACATTTAGTACAGGTACCATAACCAAAAGAGATTTCTTAGTTTTGATGGATTAAGAGATAGCATTCTGCTGTATATTATGGCAGGTACAGATATGATTACAAAACTGAACCAGAATTTGGATTATAGAAGTGCACTTCCTAGCTGTTTTTTATTTAGGTATAGGAACACACAATGAGAACCTTATGTTTAGAATGTAGCAGTAACAACAGAGGGTAACTACACTGCAAGACTTAAATGGTTTGAGCATGTGACACTATCCTATTGTTGGGGGGAGCAGGGTATAAAAATATACATACAGGAAATTAGTTTAATAGTAAAGTTTTATATGTATGTTTAACTTCCATGATATTTATTATTTTGTAGAGACATTTGTGATTGTTTAGAGTTCTTGTTTTTATTATATTTATGTATAAGGTTGACTTTTTTTAAATAAATAAGCCAAAAATTCTTTTTGAATGCCTCTGTCATCTTTTGCAAAGAAAGATAATTTTAAAAGTACAAAACTTAATTAAGAACAAATTGTTTAGGTCTAACAGGTTATGAAGGTGGCAGTGAGACATTTCAAAGCTGGAATATGTACAAAGTTTGAATTTTGTTTAGGTTCCTTTTTGGTTCAGTAAATTAGGAAAGGGATGCATTTGGCAGGGTGGGAATGAAGCAGAAATGAAACAATTCTAATTAAAATAATTATTTTCCCAGTTCATCTATGTGTGTGCGCGTGTGTGTGTGTGCATGTGTGTGTGTATGCGTGTGTGTATGTATGTCCCCTTACCCCACTTCATTCTTGGCCCATGCTTGCTTTTACTTTTTTACCACTGTTATTTACTTATTCCTATAGCATGAGTGAACGTCATTTCATAACAGTCAAGGCCGTGACGTTCGGATGCCCTCCCTCCCCTGGTAATTTTAAGTGCAGTGAACCCTTTTTCCTTTGTCATTTCCATGGGTTACCAAATATGTCTAAAATTCAAACACTTTCACTGGACCATGCATGTTTTTAATCTGAAAGATGAGTAGTACTCAGAGGGTCTGTGTATTTTTTAAGTGACTACAGTTTTTTTTTGCTTGTCTGAAAACTTACTTTTCCCTTTTATAATTTTACGTTATTTTATAGTAAATGCTTCTAAGTATAGCTTCTTTTATTAGACATGCAAAGAGAATAATCACACAACTAAGTTTTCAACAAACATTTATGTACATGCCAATGTATGCATGAGACATCTTTCAATTAAAAATGTTTAAACTGATTTTTAAAAAAGTACCACTATACCAATGAAGATAAACTGATTTTTTAACTTATATTTTATAGATCTAGTTTTACAGTTTTGGAAAAGAGCAGTTTTTAAAATTAATAAGCTGTTTAAAATGGTCTTCTCTTTAGAGTAAGTCTCACATTTAATGGTCATTTGCTACTTGGATTTTCTTGTCCAATTAATAGTGACATTTGGCATTGTATTTCGTCTTTCCTTCCATTCATTAAACAGATCTTACTGTGCATGTAGGGAGTATAGAATTCTACATTTAATCTTATGAGATCATGCTGTTTACAAAATTTTATGATGAAATTAATGCTTTCTTCAGTAAGCAATCTTACATTGCAGGCAGATTCCTGTCAAGTTTTGTCTTTCAAAATGGTCATTAGCAAGTTATCAAAAGTAATAATAGGGCAGTAAAGTAACAGAATTCCTTTTAAACCCATAGTGAGCTCTTCTGGCATGAATTTATAGCCCTCTTCTACCCTTCCAGCCAAAGGCCATTCCAAATGCTATATGTGGAATTTGTCTGAAGGGTAAGGAGTCCAACAAGAAAGGAAAGGCTGAATCACTTATACACTGCTCCCAATGTGAGAATAGTGGTAAGTATTGAAACGTCTTTTTAAAATTTTAACCACTGTATTTGCTGGTTCAAAAACTAGAATTTATAGTTTCAGGTAGATTTCAACCAGAGTCATCAAATAAATACACAGGGTAGATTGTGAGGCAGACACAGTCCATGTGTTTTCTTCTACATTGTATTTTCATTTCTCTTTGGTGATTTGACAGTATAGCTATTCTCTGCAAGTCCTAAAGCAAACTAGCATTTTATGTGCCATATTAAGTTAAAAATTCTTATGTGAGATACTACTAATACTGGTTTTGATTTAGGCCATCCTTCTTGCCTGGATATGACAGTGGAGCTTGTTTCTATGATTAAGACCTACCCATGGCAGTGTATGGAATGTAAAACATGCATTATATGTGGACAACCCCACCATGAAGAAGAAATGATGTTCTGTGATGTGTGTGACAGAGGTTATCATACTTTTTGTGTGGGCCTTGGTGCTATTCCATCAGGTAAAGATTAAAAAAAGAACAAACTATCTTTGGGTGATAAGACTCTCCCAGCACTGCACTCCAAAAGGCTGCATAAACATTATCATGACATGCAGAGCTTGTGGACTCCTATGTGCAAATATGACCAAAGCTATGATTATATGGGTCATGTCCACCAGCTTTTCATTCCCAGACAATTCCAACTAAAGGATAAATGAGAGGCCAGAATGCCCAGACTAAGTTTTGGAAGTACAGTTCTATATAATGAGCTGGTGTTTTTCTACTGAAATACTTAAGTAACAGCATCATCTTGTTTCAAAGCCTTTATTTTTATGTTATCTATTTAGAAACTTAACAAAATGACTACGTCTTTATACATTTCTATAGAAATCGATTACAGATTTCTGTAAATTGAGGCAGCATGACAATTCCAGGTAACTTTAGAACAGAGTTGAATAAATCACAGTAATTGGACTAAAACATTACACAGATAATTGTGTAATTTTAGAACTTACTTGCATAGTTAACACTGTATAATACTCTTATAAAATATATGCCTACAACGAAGCTTCCTGGGAATCATTAAGCAAGCAACATAATTATTTTTCTGTAGTAATTCAGATCAAGTATGTAGTACAATTTATCATTGTGCTGTTAGAAACTTAAAAGTTTTAAAGTGCTGTCAGCAGAGTACACCAGGACTTGAAAGAATGCTGTTAAGACACACAGCTGCCAGTGAGCAGGAGAGAAAAAGGCTTAAAAAAGCCAAATTCCAGAATGGGTTTTGAACTTTTGAAGTATGTATTGTGAAGTATGATAGTGTTTGAATTTCAGGAAATATTGTACTTTTTTAAAGGTCCGTATCACTGTATGGCATTGCATCTCTCCCATCCCCCTTGACTTGCAATGAATTTTGCATGGCATTGATTACAAGTTTATATTTTTCTCCTTAAATTAAGGAACTCATAGTGCCCTTCTCACTACAAAATCCACAGAGGAATATCATTAGTGATAGCTAAGGAAGAAGAGTTTAGATGGGCTTAAAATTCAGTCCTGTAAAGATAATTTTTCATTCCATATTAACAATTTTTTTCCTAGGTCGCTGGATTTGTGACTGTTGTCAGCGGGCCCCCCCAACACCCAGGAAAGTGGGCAGAAGGGGGAAAAACAGCAAAGAGGGATAAAATAGTTTTTGACTCTAATACTGTGTATGCATTTAAGTGGAACATTTGGTGCCAATTTATTTACAACATTTTCATTTTTATGCCAATAAAAGATTTTTTTTTTGCAAATTATGAGCTTAAAATCTGCAGTTGATTTATTTCTGTTAAAAGCTACTCTTACCCTCCAAACTAATTCCAGGTAGAGAAATCATCTTCCGAAGTATTTTATAGTAACCCTGGCTCACTCCAAAAATTCAGTGGAAATGTTTAGCAACTTAAAATACTTAACTATTTCTCCATAGCCCCAAAAGTTAATTTTCATGAAACTTCCTAATCTACATTGTTTCTGGCCTACCATAGGTAGCATTAACAAAGTTATTTAATAACTAAAGAATTTTCATAGGTATGACAAATGGCCTAATAAGATTTGGTGCAGCTGGATTTAGAGTTGTCATTATTGGACTGGTACAGGAACACAGTTTGTAAAACCTGCCTGCCAGGAAATCACTTTTGTATAGAAAAGTACCATCCCTACTTGGGGTACAGGCACGAGGCTTTAGTCCAGGCTCAGGGAAGTGTACATAAATCATTTCCAACTTGATTTTAGTAACTCTTGAAAACGTACACCTTGAACTTCGCTTAGAATCTCCAGAGTAAAATTACAAAGTATCAACCTTTGATCTGTGTCACAGCATGAAAGGTTGCTCTACTTTTTTTTTTTTTATATATAAACCTAAGTTACTGCAATCATTTTTAGTCAACCTGCCTAATGAAAATGGAGTCTAAACACTTTATTGTGCACAGTCCTTTTACAGGAATTTTGATATTTAAAAGAAAATACTGTGCTTGCTGCTTTTCCTATTTTTGGGGGTAACTGAGGTAACAAAACTGTGTATGGCTTTATTTTTCCATCCCTTGACTAGAAAAAGGTAACTAGAACTTCAACCAAGTACAAGTACCAAGGTTCACAGCAAACTGCAATCAGCTTCACAGACGGAGGGTTTTATACCCCGGAGCGTGGTCAATGACTCAAAAGAGAATTTCAAGTACCAGTTTCAAAATGCTAATTAATATCGTCCAGAGAACAGACTCCTCCTCTTGCGAGGCGTCTTCCGGGGCACGAGCGTGCTTCTGGCCGGCATCTGCACCGTCGGCGGGGTAGGCGGCCTCGCCGAACGGGTGCTGCTCGACCGTGCCGTCGTAGTACACCTTCATCTCGAACTCGCTCTCCAGGTGGGATGGGTGTCCGTAGACGCCGATGCCCACTGGGCGCCGGAAGTGCGCGGGGATGGACACAGCGTCCGGGCCGCAGGTGGCCGACTGCAGCTCGTAGTCGTCGAAGCTGGGGTGCAGGCTGCTGGCCGAGACGTACAGGTCCGCATCGCCCTTGAGGCTGCGCATCCTGAGGACTATCTTGCCCTCGTGGTTCAGCCGCAAGTAGCTGTAATTCCCGGCGCCTATCTGGCCTTGGACGACGTGCAGGAGCACCCACTCCTCGGGGACCTCCTCCTCGTCCGCGCAGCTCCCCGGGGACAGGATCTGCGAGGTCAGGAGCAGCAGCAGGGCCGTCGTCCAGGGCG